AATGACTGTCAGCTGGAGGAAAGCATAACTAAACCTCATCCTGCTGACCAGAGAGCAAACGAGGGAGAGAAACACAGAATAAAACCTGGAAGAGTTAAAACCAGAATCTGGATCTTCAAGTCTCAAATATTGCCACATAATATTGCCACATCTTTTCAGATGGCAAAACCCCTTGGGAGGGTATCTTTGAAGGATGCTGTTGTAAGGAAAAAACTGGGAACATGCTACATGGACAAGCCTGTTCTTGTATTCTTCTGAGTAACACACATGCCAGTAAAAGGGGATGTGTAGTGCTAACTTAACATTAAAGGAACTTGGTACGTGGCATGTGCAGCGTGGTGGGAATGACATGTTTTCTGCTGATGCTTGTTGCTGTATATGTACTGCTGTCAGTGGAGCTGTATTTTTTTTAGCTACAGGTCTTTCCCATTTCTGGAATGGTTGGTTTCTTGCAGTTATAGGTGTTTTATTTCTCAGCAGCACGTAGGCTCCTATTTTGTCTCCTCACATGGGTGGTAATTACTGGCAGGGGCTGCAACTCTGGCATGAAACCAGTGTTAAGTTTTCTGTTTTTGTGAGCAAAAGAAAATCTACTTTTAAGAAGTGTACTACTTCTTAGTGAAAAAGTGTGTTGCTACTCATTGAATGAGAAATGAAGCAGTTTGAATGCAAAGAAAAATACTTCCCTTTTGACCAGAGATGTAAATGTTTATGTTGCTTTATATGTGTTCTTTATATGTGCTCTTTATATGCAGGCTTTTTATCTCTTGCAGTTTTCTTCCTGTGAGCAATATTCTTGAAGCTGATAAAATTAAGCCTTTGAGTAAAGTTGATTCTGTGGCTGATCCCAGGTGGCTTTTCCTCTCTGCACATTTACACCCCAAAAATTAGGATACAGAGTCCTTTAGAACACTGTTTCAGGATCAAGTAATCTTAAAAAAAGCATTACCTACAGTAGTCATTCTTAAAGCAGATACTCTTCCTCCTAATTTGAATAATAAGAAATAAGCTGCAAGTAGAGTGAATTTTTTTGCAACTTCTAAGTTTTACTGTCATGTTTTCCTGTATTCTGCAGTACTTTACTATGTTGTGGTTGTGCAAAAATGAGAGGCCTTGATTGTGCAAGAAGATCCGATCTGTGGGAACATGTGTCACCCATAACCATGCTAATGCCATTGCATTTGAGATCAAAATTCATAGCAGAATTGGAGCCTAAACATACCAAACACAAAGGGGGACCAAACTATTATTTTACATAGTAAAGTTATAAAATCTCCATTGTACTTCATTCCTGTCTCATTGACTATTTGTAACAACATCAGGAAAAAAACATTTCCAGGTTGAATCTCTTTTAATTTGGAAAGGTAGTTGTAAGATGAGTGGTGTGGAGCAGGACCCACTATGTGGGCAAGGCTGAGAGTAAGAAAAACTTTTCTCTATGCAGTCAGAATGCCTTAAGGAATGCCTGTTTTGAAGCCTTTTGTGTCTCGTTTTCTCCTTTTTATTGTACCCTAGAGCTGAATAAATATAGTAGGCTATGCCCTAAGCTGGAGTGAAAAAATGTGTCAGTTTCCAGGAAGGGGGTGACTTCAGTGCAGAAGTGCGGGGCTCCATGAATGCACATCAGATAAAACTGTAAATGTGTGTGGCTCCTATAAATGAATTGTACTTCTTTCTACCAGTTTATGCTCATTGCTCCAAACTTCAGAAATGTTATGTCCCATGTATGGCTGAGTAAGTTTGTGTGCAGGGGTGGCCGTTGGCTGGGCAACTGTCTGGATGGGTGCTGACAAGAGCAGGATGACTCCTCTGTCATCCTGGCATGTTCTGAAGCATGCAGTTCTTTTGATAAGAAGGAAATATTTCCTGTAGTCTCTTTCTCACTGTAAGCCTGAAAAATCGGAGGAGAGGAACAAGGGATGCTGGGCAACAGCAAGTTCTTCTTTGTCTTCTGCGAAAGACCCAGTGTTTCCTGCACATCACTGTGGTTTTGCAGCTGCTGCAGGCAGGCAGGCGGAAGGGTGCACTGAAGGATTAGCCTCTGCTGCCTGGGAGAAGTGGGGAGTGCTGGTGTCAGACAGCTCCCCCCAGATAGCAGTGGTGGGCTTAAATGTATTCAGTCTATCTGTGTTGAACACTGGGAAGAGCAACGGTGAAATGACCGTTGACTTTCTAAGTTCCTCGTACCGTTGAGTCCTGGTCATTAATAGAAGGGTGGGGATTCCAGAAAGGTTTGTTTTTCCACTTCTGTGTTCACTTTGTCTTCTTTTTTCTTGAAACTGGTGTTGAATGACAGCCTGAGCTCTGAGGGTTTCTAGTTTTAGATCCAGGTTCAGGTTTTCTTGATCACTTCTCCTCTTCAATAGCTCATGCTACACATGGACACTGCTTGGTCCCACATGTGGAAGCTGGTCACTTTGCTTTTTGTATATTGCTGCTGTCAAGTTAAGCAAGTCTCTTCTCTGCTGGTTTTGGTTTTGCCTTTTATAGCATTCTTTGTTTATTTTCTCCTCCAGTACCTGCAATCCACTTGTGCCTCTACCTCTGCCTGATGCTGTTGTCCTCATTAATAGTTTCTGTCAGCCAGTTTATGTAAGGCTCCAGCAATTTGCACAATCTGTCTACATATAGTATGTTCTAATTATTTGTGGTGGTCTTACAATCTGTACTTACTGACATCCCAAAAGTAGGAGAGTAATTGATATTCTCAACAGTTCCCATTTAGGGCTTTTGCATTTGTTCTTACTTCAGACTTCAGTGCATTTTTGGTTCATGAAATGGTCAGACGAGGAACTAAATCAGGTTGACATTTTGCCTGTTTGAGAGAAGTATTTCATCTTCCTAGAATATTTTGGATTTTATCAGTTTAAATAACAGTATCTTAGTTTACTTAGCTCCTATATATGCAATCTACATACTTATTTTTAAGGAAGTAATGCATGTGTAACTTGCAATATTATTGGTGCTATTGCTTAGTATACATTCTCAAGCCTACAAAAACTTTCAATTGTGCTGTTTTTTCTTTAAAAGGGCTTTGATGCTAGCATTTGAAACAAAGGTTTTTTGTTTGTTTTTCCCACTTTTCCCAAAGTGTTTTTCCCATACATGAAACAGTTTTCTCCTTTAAAACCAAAGAAAACAGGTTCCATTTAAAATGGATTCTTTCATAGAAATCTAGTGGGTTTTAAAGCTTTTTGTTTGGAAAAAAGAAGAAATATCTAACTATATTTACTTCATGCCTTTTAAATTATGTTTAAAATGTTGTTCAGTCTTTTTGAGGTAAATTATTTTTTAATTTCATATTATATTAAAATATAGTACAAATATATTGAAATGAAATTCAATTCTGTGATTATACAACATACAGAGGTAAAAGGTCTATCTTATCATATGTGATATTGCACACACATAAAATACTGCATACATAACAAAGAAAAGCATTAAATATTGGCAAACCAAAATATCCTGAACATCTACACTGTAAATGTTTTTACAATTTTTCATTGCATGCAAAGGAAAAAAAAAAGGAAATTATGCTTTTTGTTTCTGTTTGTAGCAGATTTATATTCTGTTATGTCAGCATTCTTCATGTAATGGAAAGTTCATTTCTAATAATCTCTGTGGTCAACCAGGGTTACTTAAGATAGATACATTCTGCTTTATTGCCTAGAGATCCACTGATGGACCAATTGATTCTCAATAATGTATAAATAAGTAATAAGTTATACATATATAAAAGAGTATGATTCCATTTAATTCAGAGAAATCAGTCCAAATTTATGTCTCCGAGACATCAGTACCTGACCTTGAGCTTAAACATGGTTTTGGTAACCATGCAACATTTTTACTTCTGGTATTTTTTGCCATTACCAGTGAACTGAACCAGTGTCAGGAAATAACGTTCATTCGGTCATGTGGATTTTGAATACTTACCCAAAAAGCTGCAGGGGAGGGCAATTTGTTGAAGGATACCTTAATTTGCAAGAAGTAAGAGGGTTTTAGGTGGCGAAGAGCCTCACTTTTTTTTTGTTGTTGTTGTAGCATGGATTTATGGGCTATCTTGTAATTTTCACTGATTGTGTGAAACATTTTGAATGGGAAGTAAAAATTCCCCATTGGCAGCGATGACACAGATTTGGAAAAGCCAAAGGGCATCTCTACCCACTCAAATATTTCCAACTCATGTCACCTTGTTAAGGCATGTGTATTGACGTCACTGCAGATGCTTTTATATTTTTTGATACCGAGCCTTTTGACCTTTGGGAGTGTTGGACTCTTCCTGCATTGGCTGCAAACCTGCCTTCACACTGAGAATTTCTGGCAGCTCTGCTTCATACGGACAAAAACGGGCGATGGGTGGGAGTGATTATTGCAACATTGATGGCGTTGCTGCAAACAGTCTGTGCTTGTATCTGCATGTCTGTGTCTGTTACGCTTTTCACTCTGTCACCGTATCGCTGAGAGATGCTATTTGAATTGCTTTGGGGTCAGCTGAGGAAGAGGACAAGAAGGAAACTAGAGTGTGGAAAAAACCCACCCCTCCTAGTAAAATGTCAGCCCATCTTATTACTCTGCTCCCAGTGATTAATAATAGCAAAAGCAAATGTCCTATGGACACTGAAAATCTGACCAAAACCTGATGGAATTCAGGGAGGATTTTCCACAGCTTTTGTGTTGGTCACAGTTTCATAGAAGGCTGATGTTTTCTAAGGCTTTGGTGCAGTGTTTTACACATGCAACACGGTCTCTGTATCACTGCTCCCTGGGAAAATAAACTGGTTATAATGTAAAATTGCAGCTTTGAGCTACAAGAGTTTCCCTCAGTCTGATGTGACCGGAGGGGGGTGGAAGTTAGCCAGGGTCGTAGGGCTCAGAAGAACAGGATGAGTGCAGCCCTACTGGTTTTAGTGCACATGTGGGTCACTTGCTTATTTTTGTCTGGGGGATCTGAAACAGGAGTAGAAACTAATGATTCTTTTTGTAACTTTTGTTTGTTACAGGCTGCAAACAGTTACCTGAGGGATCAGTGGTTCCATTCTTTGCAGTGGAAGGTAAGTTCTGCACTGTCTTCCTTGTCTGTTTCTAAGAATACTTTCTAGTATTCCCTAGTGCTTCATTGTTAGAGCCCTAAATGGATAAAGTGTTTTTCTTACAGACACTCTAAACCAGAACATGTGTACAGTTTCAACTTGTTCATATAATGAATGAAGTGGACAAATTAACTTGTTACATAGTCCAGCTTGACCAACCTATGATTGGCTTCAAAAAGCAGATAGCCAGTAAATTCTCATTTGAACAGTACAGAGATTAGAAGGTCTTGGTTTTATACTATGAGGTGTAATATGTTACAGAATGAGTACAGCCTAATCATATGCTCCAGACTCCTGGAAAAAACTTGGGCAGTTTTCTTTGTGTTTTTTTCTTTGTTTTCTGAGAAACTGGAAAGTGTGTCTTTTAGAGTTGCTTATTGTAGGTAGCATCAATCCATTATGCACTGGTCTGAGTATGTGCTTTAGGATGATTTGGATTTAAAGGCAGTTTTCATTTCAGAGATTTCGAGCCCTTTCTCATTTCAGTGGGAACAATGAACTGATTGCCCTGTACAGGGCAAGTGAATCACAGCATCACATTCCTCATTGAAAACTATAGCTGCTGACTGTAGGATGGAATCTGGATGGATCTTTGATGCAGCTGGAAACAAGTCATGGCCAGATGCTGAATATGATTGTCCTCTCTCATTTGTGGTGGGAAACACAAGCAGTAGCTTTTCAGCTCAGGGCTTGTCTTCAGCAGGGTTTCAGTGCAGTCAGCCAGGTTGGCTGTGTAGCTTATCAAGGTTGCAGCCTGCTGACAGCAACCACATGTGAAAATACAAGGAAGTCCCTCCCACCAAACTGTTTTCATTGTAGGTTTGTTTGACAGTTGCAAAATAGTTGTGTGGCAAAACTATGGTATAGGCATGCTTTGTGTAGCCATCAGTGTCTGGCAGGATCACATTCTGAGCAGATACAAGTTCTTATCAGTAAGAGCCAAGTGTCGAGATCTCCTTTTCCAGACCACTGGCATATTCTCCAGCCTGTTATCCTGGCTGCCTAAATGAGTGTGGGACAGTCGAGCTGACAGCAAAAGGCTGGTCTGTGGTGTGGCACTTGATTTTGGCCTCTTGACAGTGTCATTAACAAAATTCTTGCCAGTCATGCTTTCTTTGCAACTCCTGAGGATAACAAAGAGCTTAAAGCATGCAGAGACAGTATATCCATGTGGCCATTATTTTCCCTCCTGCTTTGGCAGGCAAGCTTGATCAGAGAAAGCAAGGACAGAAATGATGATGGAATTTCTCTTTCTACCTCATCCCCAACCTGCATATGTGTGGTACTAATGAGCTGGTGGCATGTGCCCACTCTGCTCCTGCAGTGAGGGGAAAATGGGGGACAGAGGTGTGACTCTGAAAAAAGAAGGTAAGGTAAAGATTGCAACCTGCTCCCACCACCACCCACACCATCAATTAAATTATGAAAAAAAAAAAAAAAAGCCTGGACAGAATGACCTGGCCTGCTCACATGCCTTTCAGTCATGGAGAGGGAGCGTTGCTCTGTGGGAGTTGTTTTTAAAGGAGTATTTCTTAAAACTTTCCAATGCTTCTGACCAAGCCTCACATTTTGGGAAACTCTGAGTAATTTAACTTGTTGCAAGGTAGAATTTATTATTGCTTCCTTACTTCCCTCCCCACCCCCAAGAAGTTAGTTTCTGAAAAACAAGTGAAACATTATCTTGATTTGAAAGACCTTCTATTCACCAAGAATAACAAGTAGCTTTTTCCCTTAAGAACAGTGACAGGGGTTAGTCACTGCCCAGGTACTTTATGCCAACAAATTCCTCTTTGCTGAAATGGAGATAGTTTTGATAGGTTTTGTTGCTTAATAGTTCAGAGGAAGAGCACCTGGTAACTTTCTGCTCTTTGGTTGATATTTGGCAAGTTTAATTAAAATCACAACAGAACTGAGAGACAAGTGGTGTATCTAGAGGGAGAATGGAGGAGTGCAATTATGTGGTCAACCCTAATGAAGTTTATCTCTTTACTAGCACCATAGCCTATGACTTTAAGAGCCAGGTGCCAAGGTTCATCACACTCCATAATTTGTATGGTTTGATGATTAAGCAGGTAGTGAGGGAACCCACAAAAAAAACAGGAAGCCTATTCTTCTGGAATGGGTCATTTACACAAAGCACCAGCTGGCAGAGAGATCGCCGCAGCTGTATTATAATTGGGTGGTTGTGCTGATGAATGATATATTTGTCCAGTGGTCTTACAAATAATAGGTCAAAACATTTCTGCGGGCGTGTGGAACTCAGATGTGAACTGGTGGAGATAGCTGAGGGAAAAGGGAGATAGCTTTGGGGAAAGCACTCAATAGAGTTGAGTTTGCTATTGTTCGTAGTTGTGTGGTAGAAGCATTGAGGGGGTCCAGCTGAACCCAGAGCCCCACTGTTCTAGGCACTAGATGTAGGTGGAGCAGGAAACCTTCACTTCCTCTGCCCTGCCCAAATAAGGCTGGAGGAGCCCATTTACAGGTGGCAAATGGATATTCTGAGAGGTTTCAGCAGTAGGGAGTG